AATATTTGAAGACGTGGTGGGTTGACAGCCCGGTGCAGAGTGGAAGCAGGGGTTGCTGGGAAGACCCTTGACCCTGCTGCGCTAAAAACTAGTAATAACCAAAGATTGGGGAGTGCAGGAGGAGAAAGATAAAACTGCTCTTGGGCCAACACTGTGCATTATGAAAATTTCATATGATAGAAGTTCAAACCACACATGATTAGGTTACAAGTGAAAGAAGGTCCAAATGTGCCTGATCAGATTGCATTTTATGCATTCCATTCATTGTTGGATGGTGGAAGTCCAAACGAATGCTAGGCTACATACACATTCTGCATGCGGAATATAAACCTGGAGAAAAGGACTACAGGCTTCTCTGGTCACCTGCAATAACATCCCCAGATAAGTGGTCAGTTGTGTCCGGGGATGAGTCAGTATTCTCACTTATTATAAAATTATAAACACCAATGAAATATCATGTGAGCTTTTGAGCAAACATGATATCTTCACACGTGAAAAGATCACCACTGTCATGGCTACAAAATAAATTGCGCCTTTCAAAGCAAAAAACTGTCAAAGTGAAAAGGTTTGGTTTTTTAATGGTGTTTATAATATTAGAACATAACATGGTCGCTTGGAAATAGGGATATTTTCTCTACACTCACTCATGAATAATTTTTCAACAACTCTGTATCTCCGCATGGCCATGTAATATCCTCTATCTAACCTGTCAGAATAAGATTGGGGTCAGCAATGCTAATAGTACACCACTAACACAGTCTGCTTTTGTCAGTTGTAAGATTATTTTATTCTTTAAACACTAAGCTTTCAGTGAGACAAGTCAATACAAACGTTGAGGCTTTCCCATTGTGCTCTTGATGTAGAGAGCACGTACATTCTGCCAGTTCTTCTTCAACAGGGACACCAAGAAGTTGACAGCAAGATATACATTTGCCACAAGTTCATCATGGGACATCTCAACATGACCAATGGCCACAGCAAGACACAGAACCTGGTGATTAAAGAGTCAAAACATCTTATCGAAATTACAACCAAAAAGCACTATTCAAAGAGAAAAAATTGATTTTCGGTGCAGAGAACACACAAACAACAAAAAAAGGATACAAAATATTGAAATTTATAAACTGTCCCCTGAGCCTTACTTTTACATTGAATTTTATCAGGATTTCACTATATCAAGAAGAGCCAAAAATGTTTTAAGGTATTTACCTACTCCCTAAACCCCACAGGGCACAAAGAAACTCAGTTTTACAGCTTCCCATTTGGGCAAGCTGTAGCTAGCATGTACCAGCCAAAAGTCATTAAATTTTCAACTAGCCCTAAAAACTTTTTGATGAGCAAGATTGATTACACAGTTCTTCTGTAATTAGAATTTCTCAAAAAACTTCACTTGCCTATGAGGCAAGTTAAGAACAAGATTCACCTACCCAACAGCAAAATCCACTAGCCCCAAGCTATCGAACACTACTTTCTTTGCACGCTGTATCACCCGACATCCCTGCACTCTTTAAGAACAAATTTTAAACTCCAAAAAATGGTCATTGTATATAAGAGGTTGTTACAGGAGGGCCCACCATATGACTCATCAAAGAAGTACATGTACAATCTGCATAACTGAGCAATTTAATTAACTGCCCGGTTTGTTGCAAACTCTGTCGACTGTCACAGTCTCCCCAAATATTTAAGACCCTGGGTGCAGGTCCGACCAGATAAATAAACAGTGATCTGGTCTTCCAGAAAATAAGGCCTTACCAGTGCTCAAAAGTAACACACAAAAACTCTGGTCACACACACAGATCATGAGATTTGACTTAATGTTCAGCAACATAATTATATTTAACTGTACATTGATCTTTCAGTCCTTAGAAATTCAGAAATTACTACGTTTTGTAAAATCCTTGGAAATAAAAAGTACTATGCAAGAGTTCTGCCAAAGAGACTAAAACACACCAAAGAAGTTTGTCCACAAGTTGGTTTAGGAACAAAATGGTGAAAGCATAACTCTTAACCAGACATGAGAATGAATGAATGTCTTGATGTTTGGGCAAATTCTTTAAAACAGTACCATAAGAAATGTATGAAAGATAGTAAGGAGAATAAGCATGTTGATATAGGGGCTTAAAGAGTCGATAAGAACTAAAACCTCATAAAAAAAAATAATATCGCAAATTAAGAGTGATATCGAAATACAAGGATTTGAGTTGTTTGAGCACTGTGCCTTATATCTGGTGAATATCCTACCTTCTTCATCTGAAACTTTATTGTTGAGCGCACTTCCTCCACCTTCTGCACCATGTTGTCATTGTGCGTCAGTGCTGTGGGAAACTTGCCAGCCTTGTTCAGACCAGGACCAAGAATACGGGGAATCTGCCTGATTAGACTGTCTGAAGCCAGGAAAGCATCGTATTTCTTGGCTAGAAAAAGAGAGAAAATTACTTAAAGTAATGCAATAAAATTTCTCCATACCAAACTACTGTTAAAAAAGGTAATACAGCAAAAATCCATCACACAACTACCGCGCAGTGACAACAAAAAAACCTCTTTTCTTTTGCACTTACAACTTCATTAACTGGACCCTGTGATCTGAAGCATTGCATGGTCAGAATGCACCAAGCAATGGAATAAAAAAGTGTCATGAAGCAAACAATAAATAACTAAGGAAACGAAACAGATGTTTCAGTGTACAGTGTACACCTTTGGGACCAACCCTAGGTGTCCGTTTAACAGAGATGTCCATCTTATAAAGAGTCAACTAAAGAAAGGCAGGGACCAACTCTGGGTGTCCGTTTTTGCGAGGTGTCCGTCTTATAGAAGTGTCTGTTAAGAGGAAGTTGACTGTATAACCCCTCTTCAGTGTTGAGAAAACTGTTGCACTGCGTAATTGTCATTAGACATAAAATGAAGTGCATGAGCATGTAAAAAGTACTATGGGCAAGATGTAAGTCAGAGTTCAAAATGAAGCTGAAATTGATATTTAGTCCTTTTGGCTGAATGGTTCCTAGGAGGGAAATCATTCTCATTTCATGTTGCTTCTGTTGGATGTTGGTTCCACTGCATACAGCCACACCATGCATTTGGACATTAGAAAGCCTTTGCTGCTTGGTGTTGACATGTTGGGCCACAGGGCTCCCAGGAGTGATGTTGCATAGAATTATGTTGTAGTTAATTTTTTATCTCAAGTATTTTTGTTTTTCTTTCTTTTTTGGGAATGGTAAAGAATGCTAATGAAGTTGAAACAAATAAATATTACCTGAGATAAAAAATTATTAAAAACATACAAATAAGCCTATAATCCAGATACCAAGATGAATAATATATTTCATCATGTAATGACCACCCTGTTTCAAGTGCCGATGACCTTCTACAAATGTACATGCATCCCAGTGGATACATGTAAATTATTAAATATGACCAGTTAACAACAGTGACTAAAAATGACAGAATATAATAATATTGCAGGACTTTTGGAGGTTTCCAATACCTGTCTGTACAAAAAAACTCTTGAAACTCTTTTTACTCACCAAGCTTCTTGACCAGTTTCTTGTTCTTGTTTAGCTTCTTTAAAGCTTCAACATCCATGCAAGGGATGTCATTTGCCTTGGCCTCGTCACAGTGAGATGCATCACCCAGAATACAAACCTTAAGTTTGGGTCGTGGAATATGCTTGAGCTTTACAGTTCCACTGAAACGCTTATCCTTCTGAGGATCATAATTCTTTAAGCTGATCTGCAGCTCAACAGTTTCCGTAAACTTCCTTTTCTTGTCCTTGGCTCCTTGCAGTACAGCACTGCAGCACTCAAACAGTGTATCACGGTGGAGCTTACTGAAAAGATACAAAAGAAATTAAGGTGGCTACCATCAGGCAGTATCATCAGTTTATGTAACTCAAAAGTTAAACAGGGCTTTTGATATTATGCGATGGTGCAAGCTAACATCTAGCTCGTAAACCCTGAAACTGTCTGAGGCTGACTGCAGGAATTATCCACTTACAGAATTGAAAAAAATAAGACTTTGTATGGGAGTTAATACGGGGTTTTCTGATGGCGGCCGTAAGTAGAACTTTCCGCTTAATGGGAGTGTCCGTTAGGAGAGCTTCCAATTTATTGTACCTGCCAACTTTTTCTGAGTCAAAAGCGTGAGATTTTCATTCTGTCATGACCAGATTTTCCAGAAACATCTAAGCAACTTCCGAATATGTCTGAAGATTTTCTGAAGACTTTTGACATCGCCAAAAATAATAGAAGTTGTTCCAAAGACCTTTAAGCACTTCCGAAGCTATTTCAAATGCAACAATTTAATAGTGACTGTGATATAGTTAGGACACAAAGTCAACATTAAGCAATGTTTGGGAATAGTTTGGGTGAAATTGAATTGAGTTTCTTCCATCAATCATTTGTTAAAGAACAATTTGTCCAGATTTGTGAGTCAGGCATGAGAGATTGTTCTTGATATGTGAGATCGATGTCTTTAGTCTGCAAGCGTGAGACTTACACAAAATGAAAATAAAATTTAACGAGAGGTTTTTTAAGTAAACGTAGTCTTACATTTTTACATCATCAGCTAACGCAAATCATTAAGGTGCCAATTCACCAATATAGCAATAGAAGTGCTCTTTTCAAAAGTCACTACGATCTAGATCTTCATTCCTTATATAATTTAAAATTAATATCTGCCTCTAACAGCAGCAACAAAGGTAAGACTTCAGTATAACGCCATACATGCAGTAATTTCATACTATTTCACACATTGAAATGGTTGATATGAGAAGAACATGCATGCACAATAAATGTATGGGGGATACGAAAATGTTATGGCATAAAATCTACAAATTGATGACAAAACGTTAGCATCTACTTTATTTACAATATTTTCGTCTTCTTTTAGTCTTTATTGTGACCCGATTCCTAGCTAGCGATCCGTATTGATCAAGGAGCTGCATTGATCTCATTGATGCTCGATAAACCCTCGTTTGCACGGTACAACCACAAAAATAAAAGCTACAACAAAAGCCGATACGCACTAAAACGTCCTGAAACCAAATATCTTTAGTGTACACAACTCGATGGCAAGAAAAACGCCGCCAATACATTGGATTTCTAAATACAAACCTCATCCTAGTCGCTTCGTTCGCAAAGAGATCGAAAGAGAATGAAAGGAAGTCTGCTGACTATTCGCGGGCGGTGAACATTCCTGAAACAAATGGGAAGAAAATGAAGACAAAGAAAAGAGAATGAGAGTGGAAAATAGCAAATAGAAAAAAATGGAAAATAATTATGACTAGCAGTAACTAAAAGTTAGGAAGTGCCTGTAGAACTATAGGTTTGTTTTAATTTTACAACCTGAGTGCTTGTATCCTGTGAATTCAGTTGTATCTCCTCGCTCCTCGCAGTTAGAGACGTCTTCAACGACACAATCCTTTTTTCTCCTACTAATTTTCCCCGTAATCAAGTTCCAGGGCCTCCGTTCTATCTGTCAAACAGCCTGGGACGAGTCTACATTCTTTTAATTAGTTTGAATGAATTAAACTAAGAAAGAAAGAAAAAAGTAATAATAACATCTACTGCACCGCCGGTAAGTTATACGGCCCCAAAACGCTTTCTATCGACGGTGAGTTGAAATGAGTGAGTGCCAATTTTCTTCATTTTACACCTTCCTGATGGAACCTATGATAGAGCTGGAGCCGGAAAGGTATACTTTTTCGGCCAGTTCTATCATATCTCCGCAAAAATTACCACCAGAAATAGGTGAGTTGAAATTTGAATATTTTTCACGATTTGTCGGCAGATCGGTAACAAACACGGAATTGGACATTTCAACGAAATTATTTTTTCAAACTAATTAACTTCCGTTGGTTTTGTTGCTGTTGTTGTTTTTAAACCGGCCATGGCCATTGTCCGTTGTTGTTTTATGGGATATTCAAGCATAGACTGTTTAATTTTCCCGGAACATTCACAGGCGGATCCAGAAAATTCCAAATGGGGCGGCTGGGGGGCTCGCTTGAACTCTTTAAAAATAATGCAAAATTTCACAGGAAAAGGGGTGGTGGCTGTCTACTCGGCATGACGTTTTCAACAATCTATTTAGCAAGGAGAAATAACTAAATATATTCAACGCTTTCCACGAACCCTGAAGAGTTTGGAATGGTAGTCTTCTGACGCCAGGACATGAACTCCGGTGCAGTGTTGCTATTTGGCCGCGCTTGCTTGTTTTATACTCTCTTTACAGTCACATGGTACCGGTAGAAAGGTCGTTCGGTTTGTGTCAAAGCTTATGTTATCTATATGCTTTATTTGAACGAAAACCAAGGCAGCATGACCGCGAGGTCAGCTCGTCGGACTCGTAATCCGGCGGCCCTCAGTTCGAGTCCCGCTCTGGCGACTTGTTGTATTTGTTCTCGGTAGTCCCAAATCCCCGGGCACGCTTGTATTTAGTATTTAGCCAACTGGTTGCCTCCTGCCAGTTGGTTTTTTTAATCCTATTATGTTATATTTGAATTTTTTGTCTCTAAGTATTTGAATGGAGTGCGTGTAAACTAGCTGGATAAGCTAAGTGCACTTTCCAATATATAAGCCTTTAAACACTTTTTTTTTTGAACCAACCAGAACAAGGAAATTTGTTTTCTTGGGGAGGATTTTACCTAAGTAGTATCAGTTTAAAACTCTGCATGGTGCCTTATTTAACTTGGGTTAAGGTGACTTTACACGAGACGATTCACAACGACGATTTTTAGCGCAACACAGCGTTGAAACATTGTTGCGACATTGTTTCGAATGGTTACAACATTGTTTCAGCATTGCAACGCTGTGTTGTGCCAAAAATGGCAGTTGCGAATCCTCTGGTGTATCATCACCTTTAAGGGCGGGGGAGCCGAAATGAACACTATTTAGAAAAATAGGTCCCAATCGTTTAAAAAATACTTTTTATTCTCTAACATCGACAAGATGGAGTTGATTTCAGTCTTTCGATTCCGTGATCATGAAACTCCACTGAATGGCTTCTTTGTGACGTAGTCAGACAGTGATTTCCATTGTCAACCATTAAAATGACAGTACGTACAAAATAGAGGTTGTTTATTATCTTTCCAGCTGTTTCCAAACTTTTCTCTTGGTCATTTGAAGTTTGACGAGTAAAAGGTTCGGGCCTTCATGGTTAAACGACGGATCTTAGTTCCTCGCTGATAAAGAAAGGGACCTTAAAGAAAACGATAGCAACCAGGGGCCCGTTTCTCGAAAGTCCCAATAAGTTTTTCGGGCCCGAAAACCTGTTTTATGTTTGTCATATTTGCATTGAACATCAAAGTTTCAAACATTAACTACAAAGGAGTGCAAAGGATCGCAAACGAATATACCGAAGAACGTAGGATCTATAAAGACCTGATCAGAAAAAATGAAAAGTAGACATAATAAATTCTGCAAGCAGAATCACGCTGCAATGCTGATCGTACTACGTGAAAATTTTCACGTAGTACGATCAGCATCAATGTTTCAATAATTTTAAAAATGATATAATGAAACTATCAGTTGACGAAGCAAAATTGGCCGGTTTGTGAGATACGAACTGCGCTACTATTCAACAGGTTTTGATTTCAAAATTTGCCTTCCGACCCGAAAAGTTACCGGGCTTTCGAGAAACGGGCCCCAGGCCCCGCGAACTTTACCTAGTCTCGGTCACGTGACCTGAACAAATAAGCTTCATCTCGCGCGGCTTATTCGTTTAGGTCACGTGGTGGATAAGTCACTTAAAAGGATGATGGTGAAGGCCTGGGAAAACGCCGTTCTGGCAAAAGGCAATAAACCAGTATCCAGTAAAAATTTTTAACCGGGAAGAAAACGAATAATGTATTTATTGAGTAATAAGACTCAAATTGGCAACAAAACCATCGAAAACCAGTTGCTTCCGTGACTATTAAACCGCCTGCAATGGCTTCAATGTGATATGTCAAGGCTATATTCCTGACAAACAATCATTGTTTTGACAGATTTTAATTTTTCCCTTCGATGGGTGTGTTCTCTTATTGCAAGACAAAGATGAAATATCAGGTGTGTCAGGACGCAATCAAGAGCCTGAATTTCAGACATTCCTTGAGAGGAATATGCGACTCGAAGGAATCAGTCTAAAATTCAGTCTTGGCGCAATCAATAGATTGGACGGACGTTGAAAAATTCCCGGGAAAAGAAAACCTTAGCTTATCACTTGTCTTTAAAAAATGCTGGCTTGAAAGGACACAAGTCGTAGAGAACCGGCATTCAGGCTGAAACCTGACAGCGCCGTTTGGTTGATATTGATACATGGCTTTATATATTCTGTATATTGATACCTGGAAATAAATAATCTTGCACTTCCTTTTAATACCCTTTCAGGTATCGCAAACCAACCTCTTCGAAGTGCGCACAAATCCGCTTTAGGCAGGAATATCCGTAACCGTCTCCCAATGTACATATTATACAATAATACAACATACAATAGTTTTCGGTAGCTGGTTGCTTGGACTTATCTTTCAGGCTCAGTTGTTCAAAAGTTGGATGGCACTATCTACCAGATAAACCACTATCCAGTGGATAATTGCATCATCCATCGTATAGTGATATATCAGGTAGAGAGCGTTATACACCTTTTGAACAACTGGGGCAAGGAGTGTCTACACATGACATTAACACTACCGTCCTTCACTCTACTATACACATAGTGGGGGAATTCGAATTTCCCTGGTCCGTGTACAAAAATGAAAGGGGAATGCTGTAAGATCGTGTTAGTTAGGTGAAGGTCATTTTTGAGCCAGCAATCCTTGTATTCCTTTTGGGTATAGGGCCATCCAGTTAAGCATCCTCTGCAGATCGATGATCTTTGATATCACTTAACACAGCAATACAGTTGGGTGCTTTCTACAGCTATATTTAACAATTATTCGCCGAAGGCGAAGTTAATATTGTTGAATAATCCCCGAGACGAAGTCGAGGGGATTAGTAATGGTAACAGGACTGAGTGGAGTCCAATTCGGTCTGTAATCATACGAGTGATTAACAAAATCGGACGACCGCGTAGCGGGAGTCCGATTTGTTTAATCACGAGTATGATTATAGACCGAATTGGACGACACGAAGTTCTGTTACCAATTAATCATAACTTTAACAAAATTTTTGATATATAGGGCTCTTTTTAAATCAAAACACAAGAAATTCTAAGATTTTTCCGCTAGCAATGAAAAAAAAAAAAGCCATTTAAGCGCGCACGTGATGGCGCGTACTGTCCAATTACTTAGGCATGACAAGTATTGTCCTATTAAACTGTCCTATTAAGGCTGAAATCAGGGCAGTTGAGAACCAATCAGATTTGAGAATTTTGTTATAGTTATGATTATTCAACAATATTAACTGAGCCTGAGGTGAATAATTGTTTTAGTATATTCACACGAAGTGATCTCAACAGAATCAGAAAGGAAACCATTAAAAAACGATTAGTTTGATTGACGGGTGAAAATTCATGCGTGAACACGAAGCCGTAAACAGTGGATGCGCAAAAGTTAGATCTTTACAGTATCTTCAAACATGGCAAATGATAGTTTTAATCCTTTTGTATCGAGTTTTGTAAGCTTTAGCATCAACGGTTTAAAAGAAAACGCCGAAAATTTAAATTACTACCCAATTCTGAGAAGAAAAGTATCTAGAGCTTTATTTGTTTCTGTCAACTCACCGTGAATGAGAAAGTTTTCTTCGTCGCTTCTTGCAAATGCTGTCAACAGCGGCTGCGATCAAGGTGAGCGTTGTTTATCTCCAAAGTTCTTTGCCTTGTTAACTTGCTGGCACGTACAATTTTCGAAAATATTTGCCTTCCTCTCTTCTCCATAAATTAACTTCTATTTATAGGCAAAATTGGTCTTGCGAGAAAATCCCGAAATCACAAAACAGTGACAAAGCGACCTCGTTTTCCTCTGTAGTGGTAAACATAGCTTCGAGCGTACAAAAAGTCAGCTAAAGTAAACCACTTCACAATAAATCACGCTGTTTAAACACCATGAAGTCTTTTCTTGCCTTCAAAGTCATCAGCACTTGGATATTCGTGTATTTTCAAAAAGGTTTTACTTTGAAACTTTGGCAAAACACCCAGTTCACGACAGCGATTTTGTTCGGCTTTATATTAACCACCTAGCGCGGTGAATATAACGTCATAGTCCGAGATAGCTAACCAATCAGATTGCTTGAATTACCAAGATCACTGAGTGTGTATATACTAAAACAGCCATATTTACCTACGCATTATTTGCAAACAAGGTTGTCAAGATGCACAGCATTGCAGGCCACCGTCAGAGCCGTAATCCAACAATGTCAGCAAAAAGGAACATTAACTTTTACACCACGTTAGCATGTTTCAGGAACAGAGATAGTGGGGAGGGTGGAAAGGGAACGGAGCAGAAAGAAGACTGATAGGGTAGCGCCACTCCCTTCTATTTGAAGCCTGGAACTGCTGGAACAGGTTGAGCAACGTATTAAAGGCGCAAACCCGTGAAATGGGACTTGCCATTTCGTTTTCAGGGTCTTTCGTCCAATTAGACCTTCAAATATCTCTACTTCAGGCGAAGAAGACTTCCTAGCCGGCTCTAAGGGGGCGGGGGGTGGGGGGGGGCACTCAAGGGAGGTTTGGGTAGAGGTGTGCCACTGAGGCCCTCAAACTAGAAGCCCGTTTAATTAAGACAAAAATTTCTCATTTCGCTTCCCTGTTCAAGAAAAGGGTCCTTATTAATTGACCCTGATTCATTTTGTTTTGCATGTAGAATTTTATTAATTTTTCAAACCAACATCGTAAAAATTAGAATGTTTGAAAAAAAAGTGTTGGTGCTACAATTGCAAACCGCTCCTCGCCAGCCTTCACATACCCTGTTCAAGACGCTAAATATTGAAATTGTATACCTTGTTTAAGACTCAAGTACCATAAAACAATACCCTGCGCACATACCCCCGGACGTATCCCTTCTCCTCATTGTGGCAGCCTTCCCACGAGACAGCCGGAAAGATGGGTAAAAACACCGGGCTTTAGCTAAGACCAACAAGAATCAATTCCCCTCCCCATCCATGTCCCTGTTCCTCCTCTGTCCCCACCCCCCACGCATTAATCATCATGCATGTTTTAGCCAGGAAATACTTTAAATGTTGCATGTATTGTGAAACAATCAGATTAAATTCGGCTTTCATGATATGAACAATTATCAAATGTCAAAGAGGTTAACCCGTACTCAGCATCGTCCAAAATCAAATTGTTCCTTATTACATGATACATACTCAAACTTTTTCTTAGCTGGACCAGTCGAATCGAGTATGGCATACAGGATAGGAAATGATGAAAAAGATCAAGGACAATTGGCACCAGATTCCAAACCAAGCGTGAAGAAATATCGTACGAGGTTTTCACCCAAGCAGAAACTTGAGCTGGAGAATGCGTTCTACCGCACTCCATATCCATCAGCGACACTGAGGGCTCAGTTAGCCAACAGTCTCGGAGTCACGCCCAGCGTGGTGATGGTAAGGAAATTGTTGTCTGGTATGTACATGACCAGGAGGCGATTAAGTAATCGGCTCCTGAAATGACCTAATTGAAAATCCTGGGATTTTGTGAACGATGGAGTGCAGCTAAGGGAGGGTCGTACCATTCCTAAGTCTATTTTCTTTTCTTTTTTCACACTCTTTTTGATGCCTCAAGACCCAGGGACAGCAAATTGGGATGGGATATTTACGGGAGAAATATGGGCGAAAATATCAAATGACATAATGCTGGAAAAACTCTTGGGGGTTTTACACTTACCAAAGCACTTGAATTGTCGATCCGCTTCTGATTGGTCAGGAAACGCTCAGATACTTACTAGTTAACTCTTTACAGTGCTGTCTTTAAGTGCCAAAAGGGACTAACAGAAAAGGTAGTGAGAATAAATGATCACTTAAAGGAAGATACTTTGATCTTTTATCAACGCTTGGCTAGTTCTTCAAGTAAAGGAGATCAGTCTAGAGAATTTGTATCGATAGAATGAGTGCCCAGGGGTTCTATTTTAAGAGAAAATTTGCCTGCAGCGATTTCGTCCGTCAAGATTTCGCCCTAACTAGTTGCCCCTACGTCTACGGGGATGCAATTTCCCTGGTAGAATGTTGGTTGACTAACTTCGCTGTAGTACTGTAGTTGTAGATTAAAGCTAAACTGTTTACAAAGCATTTTAATGTTATTTAGTTTTCGGTGCATTTTCCTTTCTTTTTTAGAACTGGTTCAAGAAACGGAGATACAGGTGGCGACAAAAATCCCCAAACCTTGGGATGCCTGTGCCATGCTCTTGCGTATTACCACCATTTCAAAGCCAAACTCAAAACAGACCAAGCCAACCTACGTATACCCAGGGGACCGTTTTTGGCTACCACGGGACCGTGGACCCTCATGGGTTTCAACAGGCACTTGTCGACAATCAGCAAAGAGAAATTGAAGTGGGAAATATTTCCCAAAGGGTAATCCAGTTTAATCCTTAAAGGTATAAAGGGTGTGTTCAGGAGCCCAGGACCCGCTAGTGTGTCGGAAAATTTTGAAGATTTTAAAACACGAAAAATGTGATATACGCAATGAGTTTTTCATTATTTTCAAAACTTTGGTTATAAAATTTGAATGTACCCTCGTTTAAGAAGCTGTGCTTTCCGCCTTAAAAACTCTGTTTATGATCATTTTAATTGCGCGGAAATAGCCGAAGCTCTTTAAAGAGTACCAAAATAGTATTTTTCTTTTTTTCTTTTTCGTTCCTAAGCCATAGAGGGTTTCCCTTTTGATTGAAACTCTGCAGTCTGTAGTACAGTGTGAACAGAACGTTTTCTCTCACGTGGCCAACAACTATGCAAGTTTATTGGAACAAAAGAAAGCGTCAACATAAGAAAGGAGTTCGACTTTCACAAGATTGGTTTGGAACACCAACATGTACGCAATTTCATGTTGGGCGTGGCGTCGTGTGAAAGTGTCTGAAAACGCTCTATAGCTTAAACTAACATTATATTTGGCTGTCGCGATGTGTCCGGCTTAACACACTAATGAAGCCATCACAAAACGTCATTACTGAAGAATGCTTTTTTTCACTACTTTTGAAACATTGTCTTGGCTTCTGAAATCCACTTTCATCGCTGCTGTAAATTAGATTTTAGGAACTGGAAAATCATTTTAAGAATGTTATGGTGTCTCCTAAAGAAAGGGTTTTTCTTGTTTACTTCACCTTTATCCAAGTCTGTGGAAGGGTATATATAGTGGGGGAGCCAGAAAATGCAGAAAAGGTTTAATAATACTTTAATAATGCATCCATATGTATTGAAATTGCTAAGGATTTTAAGTAAGAAATATGTTTTTTAGTTCTGATAGTAAAATTTGTTAAATCAGGGATTGTAATGTCACATGAAGTCATAAATTTGGTGGCAGCCATCTTGACTTCAAAGAGTACAGTTCCCCGGTTAATTATGAGGTCAGCAAAAAATAAAACAGCTTCTGCCAACGGAAGAAATTTAACTGGAATTTTTGCTACACTGTTGAGAGTAACATTTTTCAAAGAAAAAATGAAAAAAACAAAAACAAAAAACAAAAAAAACAAATAAAAAAAAAAAGAAAACAGACAATTTTGAAGTGGTATAACCACAATACGGAGAAGGTGGCTGCTATGGAAACGTCAATCATTACTCTACAGTCAAATGATTGATAATTGAAGTTTTTCCTCATTAAATTTCAGGACGTTAGTCGTCAGGACGTTTCAAATTTATGAAAATCGTGTTAACTCGAATAATCGGATATGGCCGGCCCGGCTGTGTCCCGGCTAATTTTTGCTATTATTTTTTTTCTGTATTGACTTTATATGTTTCAGTTAAAAGTTTCTGTTTCCTATGTTTTCTAGTATGGATTTGAACTAAAAAAGGGAAAAACAAACATTTTACTGGAATGATAAAAGAAAAAAAATTGCAACGTATATCTTAAATCATCGGCAAAGGTTATGAACCTTAAATGTGAAATAAAATACGAATATTTTCTGAAAGATTTTGTTTGTCTATTTAAAGATTGAATGGTCATCAAGTGAGGAAGTCTTAGACAAAAATAGTTCTCTAAATCACGTATATGCCGCAAATTAGTGTGGCTAAGGTAAAAACCAAAATGCCAAATAAAAGGATATTAGTTTCATTTCTAGTTGAAGAATTGTCACCGATGTAAAGTAACTTTCATATCCACAAAATTAGCTTCCTAAAAAAAATTATGCTTTTAAGGTGCTTATCCAAATATGTCCAGACAATATCCACTTTTTCTAAAGCGTCAGAATATGAATTCATTGAAACTGTGCCATATAAATTGAATATCAAGACCACCCTGCTTAAATCAATTACCGCAGCGTAATTAAAAAAATCGCGCAGTTTACGTTAGTTGATGAAAAACTTGCCGCGGTGGAGTGAAAAAAAGATAACAAATGAGATTTTATTACCATGTGAAGCATATACTTTAATAACAGCAGTTATCTGGAAGCATATGGCAACGATAAGGCGAACTTAGTCACCAAAAAATTAATCAAGGGTTTGTAAACTTCCCGACAAAACTGAAAGGTCATCAAAAGATACGTACGGCTTTAGGGCAAGAAAACAACAGCTCAAAGAACTTTCGAACACTTATCTATGGTGTCAGCGATGGGAGTGTAGAAATATGTGGTGCTTTTGATACGTTTTAGTACTGTTACCAGTGTTACTGAGCAAAGTGAAGGCAAGGGTCTCCGCGATACTCTACTAACTAATATTCAACAAACAACCACGACGCATGTATCAGACGAAAATCAGTTATACCTCGGAGAAACAGATAATTGTTTTGCTAACTAAGTGGTTTATGAATTTTAGTCATGGAATAAGCGTAAATTTGGGTATCTAATCGTACGACTCTATATCTCCACTTTTTGGAACATCGGGAGATTTTATCATAGCAATTTAATATCGATTTTGTATTGTTGACACTTTGAACTGAAATCATTGATTAAAAAATGTGAAATTTTTTTTTTTGAAAAGAAAGAAAGATCAATAAAACACACAGACACACACAAAAAAATCACCATATTTGCACCGGAGCTAAAAAATGAGTTTCAGGCAAATGCGAGTGCTCCGGGTGCCTTCGGGTGAACCTTCCAGTCGTTTCCCGCTTTCGGGCATTTTCGTCCCCTCCCCGCCCCACTTAAGAGGGTGTCGACAGTCTTAATTTAATTCGGCGTGATCTGCTGTCAATATATGAAATTAAAATCATGGAAATGTTTGAATATTTGCCGTTATTTTGTCTCTGTAGTGGAAAGTTTTCGGGTTATCAGTTTTGGCGGTTACTTCTTCCTATTTCTTTTTAATAAAGCATCCGCCTCGGGCAACTACTAAGAAGTCTTCACGAAATTGGTTGGTTTTTGAAAGATAAGCTTTGGATAAGCTTTGGATCGACAAAATTAAGTGGTCGGCATTAATATTAAAACATATTTCCCCACATCAAGTTGGAACGCAGCAATGCGGAATCGAACATGATTCGCATCCCACTGAATGGAGTTACTTGAATGTTCAAAATCTTGTAAATCACCCCCCTACACTTACAGAATTAAACATCAGTTGAAAAACCGTTGGACGGAAAACTGAAAGTTCGGAGGAATGTTTTCGCTGCGCAAGGGCGTCTTCCTTGAAAATCCGTGAATTTTTCTGTGTCAGTCGGAATATATGCATCATTCATTTGAACTTTTCCTGTTAGCTCCCTTCTTCGAAAGGGAAAAGCGAAAAAAACGGATTGTAATGTTAAGAGAGCTTTCATTGGTTTTTCTTCTAACGCTATTAAAGGAGCTGGACTTGTTGAATTATGTTTGAAGCCGGTCCCAAAGACATCTTCGTAGGAAGGATTCTAGTGATTTCCAGCTCTGGAAGTATGATAAGGCAAGAGCGAAATGATAAAATAAGTGCAGGTAAAATGGTCTAGAATTTAAATAATTTCCATTTACGCCGTATGTGCTCAGTGGTCGCGACTGAACATTAGTAGGGACTTAAAATGTTTGATTGTTTTGATCTTAAGGCAAATAAAACTAAATCGTCTTGCAGTATAAGTATCCTGCATAGATAAGTACATGTACATGTTATTTCAGTTTTAATGGAGCTGGGGTCAGGTTTCAATGATAGCGAGACTGCGAGTAATTCACTAAATATCCGGAATGTTTTGGCGAGAGAGAAGACAACAGTTTAGCGCGTTGAAGCGTTGTACGCAATATAAATGTCACGCACTTTTTATTTGCTTGTTGCGATTTTTGCATACAAAAAGCCATAAAACTAGTGAAACAATCACAATCTTCTCCCAGCTGACCTTGATTTTTTGTGGCATGGAAGTCCGGCTTTCGGGCATCTTACGCGGTCATACTAGCTAGGCAGCAACTTGGTTACGAAAAAAGTTGGAACTGTTCTTTCTTTTCTTTCTTTCTGTTCTTTCTGTTGTGATCATTCGCCGGGAAAATAAGAAAACATTACCTCAAGCATCCTTCTATAATGTCAGGGATTTTATAATACTAATTATTCCTGAGCAAAATTTCAAGCAAGGTTGATTCGGCTTCGTGAAAGGTATAACAAATAGATGACGAAAATATGTACGTCTCTGTAACCAGATACTAAATATATTGCAAAATTGTCATTGTAGGGGCCTGCCCGCTCTCACTTTGGTGATGGAAATGCTCGACTGTCTTCGGGTCGATTAAGATTTATTATCTTCTTTTACTGGAAAAATAGCTCAGTCTTGAACTCATTTTCAAACTGCGTAGAAAAAGCTTTCATTTTCGTAGATAAATTTTTGTTATTCCATGATATTCCATGTTTTCATAAACTTGGAAAATCTCCCCCCTGATAAACATGATGCAATGGCGGCATGTTGAATTACACCGAGTTGTTCAGTCCGTCGATTGTTGTTATATATAAATGGTAAGGGCGTAACTGAGCCATATTTCTTTATCGCGCAATGAAGTTCAGTTTACCTAATGTGAGGAAAAAATAAGCCAAAAAGGATTAATAACTTTTATTCTTGTGACAGAAATATTTTGTTGTCCTACTTAAGGGGGCAAATTTAAACCTGCATGTTTCCCGGCATAAATATAATCGGATGTACCACGTGCGGTGAACTTAATGGCTTTTAAAATTTAATGGGTCGTTTTGCTTTTTTGTGATATTTTGATAAGTTGGCTTACTTGAGATAAAATCTATCAAAAGTAGATTGGATATTTTATTTCATAGAAGTTAAACGTCAGGTCTAGACTGCGTGAAGTGGAAACATTCTTGGGTTGACGGCCAAAACCAGAATATTGTTTTTGACGAAAGAAAACTATGACGGAAAATAGGCCCTGAGTTTGCAATCCAACGTCCTGATCATCTGCACGATCTTCAGCTCTGTAATAAATTCAGAATAAAAATTAGGATAATTGAAAAATGGCGAACTACAATTTTGGAAGGCAGCTCTGCAGGGTGTTAGGATC